AAATGTATATATGTATTTTTGTGTTTTTAAATGGCGTTGTACACCCTTGATGGTGACTGGTGAGCGGTCTTATTACCACGGTTGGTATGGGATTTGCTACCCCATGCTTTCCGTGGCTAGCGTGTTATGATGGTACAACGTCGGGCCCAATATATGATGGATTTTTTAAAGTTTAAACATGTTCAAAAATAATTATTCTCATAATGATGTTTATTGTTGATGAATAAAAATGTCCATTTAAATTTGTGAGAATTAAGTGTCTTACTAAGCCCTTACTTATATAAGTTATTTCATGTTGCAGACAATCTAAAGGGTAAGATGTAGCCATGGAGAATATTGGAGCGGATGCGAGCTACGCGTGATAGGAAAACGGGAGAAACGATCATGGGATGTTAAACAAAATTTTTACTTTTTACTTTTATTATTTTGAAACTTTGGTTTATGGTGGTTTTGATTTGAAGAATATTTTAGACTTTATAGATTTGAATAATTAAGTTGAACCAAAGGTTATTTTATTTTTTCTTTGAGGAAGTTCAAAAAAATTTAAAGATAATATGTTTAAAAAAAAAACCTAGGCTTTTCTTTAAGTCATTCAAAGTAAAGTGTTTCAAGGTTAACGATTTTCCGCATTCTTTAAGAGGTAAATGTTTTAAAGTTAAGATAACTGTGACGATCCGTGAGGGGTCGTTACAGTCCCTCCTCCTCTATTTATCTCTCCTCCCAAAAATCAGGTTTGTTTAGTTTTGTTTTTGTTCCTTTTTCAATTTACAATTGGAACTATAAGGTCGTTATGTGAAAATCAAGTTATGTGAAAATCATGTTTGTTTTGTTTTTATTTTTGTTTTTATTTTTGTTTAATTTTTGTTCATTGTAAGGTTGCTAGTAGCATTTTTCTTGGTAAATCCATGGATTTACCAAGTACACCATTGAAATCTTAGAGCTTTCTTTACCATTGGAATCTTATAACTTCACAAATTAAGGACCATAATGTTGACAGGTTATCCTCCATAACGTGTCAGGTTATGGTCCATTAATTGTCAGGTTATGGTGAATAAGTTGATAGGTTATGCTCTAAATTGACAAGTTTTTCACATAACTTGGTTATGTTCCATAGCTTGATACATTGTGTTTTTCATTTGATTTGACTTTTTTCATTTTCTTTTCTTTGCATTTTTAGGGTGCTATTGGTAATTCTGAATTTTTGGCACGCTTTGCTTCCTTGGAGGCAAAAACTGATAGATTGGTTGTTGAAGTTTCTTTCCTTCGAAGAGATTTCAATGAACAAATTTCTTTTGTGGTTCAGTCAATCATAATGCTTGGTGAAAAGTTTGACAGTGTGTTTTCTTCTAAGAAGAACGCAAATGAATGAAGAACAAGCAATTGAAGAAACAAATGAAGAAGCAAAGGAAGAAGAAGAAGCAATTGAAGAAACAATTGCAGAGAAAAAGGATGAGAAAGTGGGTGTTGCTTCTAACAAAATTAAAGAAACAATTGCCTCAATTTTAAAGGATCTTGTCAATGATGCTGCTAAGGAAGGCGATACATTTATTGAACAAATGATTGTTGTGTTTGATAAGGCAGCATCACAAGAACCTACTAAGCGTGTAGATGAAAAATTTTTATTTTTTTATCCATTCTTTGAAATTGTTGATTGCGATGCATCAAAGGAAGACAATGCAAGGTTTCAAGCATGGTATAAGACTAATATGATCTCTAAAAAAGCGTGGGGACCGGCCAAGGATGCGCATTTGATAAATCCTGCTTTTCATTTCAAAGTTGACACCATTGACTCAAAGCATTGGTTTCAAACTTTATGGAACCTAAAGTGTTGGCTAAGTGACTCGGTAAGATTCTGTCATTTTTTTTTTAATTTTATGCAAGGTTTTTTTTTTTTTGGAACAAATCTTATCATTATTATTTTTTTCTTTTGATAGCATGTTGATGCAACCTCGTATTACTTGCGAAAAAGATGATATGCTACACAAACAAGCTTATATTAGGTGCATGGTTTTGGACTCGCATTTTTTCACAAGGATTAATAGCTTATGGTGCTCTAACAACCAAAAGGATTTTGATTGGTCTACTTTTGATTTCTCTTCACATTGTGCTCCTCAGGATTATGTGTTGGGAGATTATTTGTATTGTAGTTTGCCTTTTTGTGAAGTGGACATTCGTCTCATACCCATTTTTCTTGAGCGTAGGAAGCATTGGATTTTGGGTTATGTTGAGTTTAATGATCATTGTATTAGGATATATAATTCTCTTTTTTCAAAGAGGGTAGAGAAGCAAGTTCATGCTTCTGTGGAACCTTTGACAGTCATTCTTCCACACTTGCTTGAATCTGTTGGCTATTTTGATTCTCATACACAAAAGTATTTCACTAGTTAATTTGATCATCTTGGCCCTTTTGAGATCATATTTGACGATTGTTCAAAACAAGAGAACGGGTTAGTTTTTTTTTTTTAACTCTTTTTGTTTTCCCTTTACTTGATTCATTTTTGCATTTATATTCTAATTGTTAGATTTTTGGTTGTTGTTGTTTGTAGTGGTGATTGTGGAATATTCATGCTTAACATGGCTGAGATCTTTATGGAAACCGGATGTGATGATTGTTTGAGAAAACAAGGGGCTGGAACATTATTCTGTAAGAAGATGGCAGTTGAGTTGTTCAACCATGCCTTGCGGAAACAACAATTGGGCTATGAGAGTGATGATAACAGGGGGTCAAAATGCGCCAAAAATGCATTTTATGACGCCAAACGATGCAATTGAGTTTGATTTGGATGATTATATTGATTAATTTGACTTGTTGGTTTTCAGATTCTTGTATATTTCTACTTTTGGCACAAATTATATTGTTATTAGTTTTCTAGACTCCATTTTTCCCTATAAGCAACAATGCCTGAAACAGATTGCATGTCTACAAACATATTCCAAGAACACTGTCAAGTTAAAGTGCATAACTGGACAAGTTATGTAAAAAAAACCTGTTAATTGTGGACCATAACTCGTCAAGTTATGGTCCATAACCAGACAAGTTATGTAAAAAACCTATCAATTATGGACCATAACTCGTCAAGTTATGGTCCATAACCGGACAAGTTATAAAAAAAAACTGTCAATGACTGAAACAGATTGTATGCCTACAAAAATCAGTAAATTACAAGAGCTATATTCAATCCTAAAACTATTAAAAAACTGAAATAATGCAAAATGTGAAAACGAAATTACAACAAAAAAAAACTAGAAATGAAAAATGTACAAACCTATTGTTCGGTAAAAATCACTGGAGGACCTGCTCAAAAAATGACTAGAAAACAGCAAAAAACACAGGACAGACAAATAGAGAGAGCAAACCGAAATAATGCAAAATGTGAAAATGAAATTACAACAAAAATAAAATTAGAAACGAAGAATGCACAAACCTGTTGTTTGGTAAAAATCACCGGAACAGCTGCTCAAAGACGACTGGAGAAGACCAAATCCAACGAGAAAGAGAATGATGAAATTGATCCACCGACAAGAGAGCCAATCCAAGCGCAGTTACAGAAGATCCACACCGGTGAAGATCTGCGTTAAGTTAGAGAGAGAGAGCTGCGAGTACAGTTAAGAGAAAGAGAAAAAGAAATAAAAAAGAAAAAGAAAGAGTAAATTTGAAAATTCAAAAATTATAACCTATTAAATTTTATAACTAATAAATTGGCTTATATACTTTGTTAAGCTTTTTATATTGGCCTATTCTCTACTATTTTCCTTATATTTAGATATCCATGTTGGGCCCAGTTGAGGCTACCATTTGTAAGCTTCGTCTCACCTTAATTTGGGCTAGCCCAACCGGTCTACAATATGTGCTCGGCCAGGCAGCACGCCTCTTAGACTGGGCAGGACTACCCATGTTCCTGGGCTCATTTTTGCACCTCTATCCACCATAAAATTCTCTATAAAAAAAAAAAAAAAAAACAACTGAAAGAAGGGAATTGTTATCACCGATATGAATTACCAAACACTTTAATTCTTTATATAGCTTCTTTTTTTATTTTTTTTATTTTTTTACTGGCTATTCTCATGTTTGTCCAAGAATTAACATGTAAATCCATAATTTTTCATTAAAAAGAAAATGTATATGATATATCCATAGTTGATTAAGTAATCATTAGTGAATAGGGTCAACAATATGGATCGCGACACGACGATACGACTAAAAAACGACACGACTTTTACAGATTAGGGTTGAGAAAAAAGAGGTTCGGGTCAGATTTGGGTCGACCTGAAATTGACACGAAAAATACGGGTCAATTTCGAGTTAGACTCGCCTAACCCGAACACGACACGAAACTCGTAAAAAACTAAAAAATACATATATTTTTCATTACATAGTTTAAATTTTATTATAAACTTGTGATATCATGATAGTTATACTCAAAATCTTATACTATTATTTGCTTAATTTCAATGGATGTTATTGTAATTTAATGTTATGAATTTTAAGTTATTTCTAATATGTAAAAAACTAAGGCCTCGTTCGTTTCGATGATTCAAGTTTAGAATTTGAGTTGAGATGTGATTGTATGTGAGAGCTTTTTACTGTAACAAAAAAGTTAGATGTGATTGTTTATGAGAGCTTTTTACTGTAGCAAAACTCGAATTCTAAACTCGAATCAGCGAAACGAACGAGGCTTAAATAAAAGTATACAATTTTCGTGTCAATTTCGGATTCACGGGTCAATTTCGTATCACGGGTCATTTTCGGATCGTGTCGTGTCAACTCGTAAAGTGGTCATGTTGTGATTTTTAAAAAATTTCGTGTCACGGATTGTGTTCGGGTTGACTGTAAATTTTTAAAAAACGATCAAAACACAACACAAACACGACACGTGATACGAATTGCTAGTGAGGATTACGCGTAGCATTTCTGAGGTTAAAAAATTAGTGAATAGAGAAGTCCGAATGCCATGGGAATCTCATTTTCTTCAATGAAAGATATAAATAAGATTCACAAATAATAAACATTCAGTTTCATACCACAGACCTTTGCATTTTATGAAGAGTAACATATATAAAGAACAAAGAAAAGTCGTATATCCCAACAAGTATCATCGCCAAAACTCCTCTAAACATGGATTACACAATGCAGTGCAACAAATTAAAGAATGACGTGAAGGAAATTACGCCGAGTATGGTTAGTGTTTTTTACCATAATTCTCCGCATTCGAGGCAAGGATCAGGTCGTGGAGCTGAAATGGAGCAACTTTTTCCGCATTCAGAGAATTAAGATATCAGAGTAGATGATAACCCACCCCTTTGGTATCTTGAAGTGTGCTAAATTTCCATTAAGCTCACAAGAAATTCATATGAATGCAGGTGGGATTGCATGGATATGCACAATCAATTTGCTTCGCTTCTTTCCGATTGAAATACCAATCACCAACGGATTCTGCAATGGTCTGTTCCAAGAACGATAAAACTCGTTAGCATATTAGAAATAGATTAAAATCCAAGTAAAAAGAGCAGACAGAGCCATAAGCTTAAAGTTGTATCGCTCAAGGCTTTGCATTAATAACCACAATCATGGACAGTTCGGCTATGTGGCCACACTCGCAAAACAAAAATATAAACATATATTGCAATAAAACGATCTTGAAAGTCCAACATATTGTTTACTCGAATAAATCCTGAGAAAAACTCTGTAATCAACTCAAAAAAGCTTCATTAGATCTCCATAAGTAACACATATGAAAGTACTCTTCTTGCCTTCTTGTTTATTTGAGGCGAATTTAGAGAGTGCCATGTCTCGGCCATCCATGTCTGGCAATGAGCAAAGCAGGAATTTATAAACATTCCCCCCTCTTTATTTTTCTGGAAATCGCTCAGCGCCATCAGCAGAGAATCTCTGAAACCTGTGCGGAATGAGTTCTCGTCATGTTAACTAGCCACCTATACTTAAAGCACAATGATAGATTCTTGCATAGTGTAAAATGTAAATTTAAAAGTAGGACACAATAACGTAATTTGCAGGACCACCAGGCAACATGTATTGGGTCATGATATTGGACATTCAATTACCTTGAAGTATCTGAATCTGGCTTGGATCGCAATTATGAATGTTTAACCTGCATTTACGCCAGTAGCCGTCTGATGCATTTGGCACCAATATATGTTGTATCTAATCGTACCCGGTTAGTATAAAAAGACGCCCATGGAAAATCAAAATCCGTCACAAGAAAATGGAGTTTGGATTCTGATAAGACTCTAACTAGAGATAGAGAAATTGAACTGAAAAAGATTGAATATTTATTGATGAACAGTGATGAATCAGTACAATCAACAAACCTAAATCTAAATTACCTGCCAAAAATCATAAGCTGGGTTGACAAGGAACACTGGGGTCTTTATGTTTTTAATAATTTGTTGTGGAAATAGACACTGGCATTGCAATTTAGAACAAACGAAAGGGGCCTCATGTCAGGAGTAAAGATTGAGTACCAACAGGAGAAGTACATCTTAAATATGATAAGTGGTACAATAACAAAAGAGGAAAAGAGAACCTGCCTCTGATGGTTCTGCTTTTGCAAGACATTCCTTGTGCAAACTTTTGGCTACACCCTGAAGCATAGATTTACATATGTAGTGAAATGACATTTCATTTCAAAGATAAAAAAAAGTAAATTTAGATACGATAAGCAAGATGTATCGAAACATGTCTTCCCCTAAATTGATAGAATCCATTTAATCATCCACAGTAATAAAGTTCTTGTTTCTAATTTAAAAAAATAAATAAATAAATAAAGGCAATTCTTATGAAAGCTACCCAAAGAAATTTTATCAGACAGACCATCTGTATAAGATAAAGTCGCGTTTGATGTAACATGTACGACATGTAACATACAAGAGAAAATAAATGTCACGATGAAAAGATCATGAGTCACCTAGCTAGCTAAATAAACCGCAAACGAATATCGCCAAGCTAAATAGATATTAACAATATAAAGGTGAAACCAAGACAGATTAGAGCATAACCTGAAGGAGGGAAACATCATGATAGAAAGATCTCATGGTGCGATTTCCAAGAACATCTTTCCTGAAATGTAAGATGCAGGATAAGGCTCAAATTATTTCTGTGTGGCCAGATTTTGAGCAAAGAAAAGAGAAGGTCTTTATGCATTGAAACGAATGATTGTTATAAACTCAGGACTGATTCATTTTGTTAGGCTGATCAAGAAAATCTCCTATACAACAAGATTTCTATCTTACTAAAAAATAGAACAGTTTAGATGCATATTCTATCGTGTTAGCCTCCTTCCCATCGTAGTAAACATGAAAAAATTATGCTATGCATCTTCCACAAACTCCCATATGCATATAACTACAAGATACTAAAAAAGCCATGATCCAGATATATCCTAGTCTTCCTATATATATATATATAAATATATATATATATATATATATATATATAGAGAGAGAGAGAGAGAGAGAGAGAGAGAGAGTCAAACATTGGTACAATGGTGAATATATAGAACAATTTAATTAATCCACTACATACCCTCCCCGCTTGGTTTCAAAGCTAGAGGGGGGTAAGGATGTTGTATAATGGTGAATAGTATTCTTCAGATGATCTTACATGAGAATAGTATTATTATCGGTTTGTTCCTAGAAATGATATGCACATAGTATAAATGCAGTTTGGTTTGTGATCATCATATGCATGTATTAAAGGTAGAAGGCGTTGTTAAGGCATGGGAAAGCCATTGTTTAGACATTTCTAAAACTAATGCATGTTTATGTGGATTAATTAAACTGTGTTTATATGAAGATAGGACATATCACACAAGAACTACTGTTATTTATTGTTCTCACTTAACTTACTATTAATTATTCATCTTAAGAATACTATTATCTGTTTATCTCTCCTTATCCTTGATAGCATATCAGGATATGGTTCATGGTAGCTGGTCTAGCTGGATAGCTTTATCATATCAAAAACTTGTTTGAAAATTACGTTTTTTCTTTCACTTTTAAGTTTTATAAGTTGCATTGTTTTTTCAAGTTTTCTGTAGTACTCTTGATAACATTTTAAGATAGTTGTATTGATTTTACGTTTCAATTTTTGCATTATATATAGTTTTTATCTTTCCTACTTTTTGCATCCACTTACTGCACAAAGCACTTGCATCTTGTCACCCACTTTCACTTCATCCATTTAGTTGCTTTCTACTATTTCTACACCAACTATAATTGCCTATGCACCTACGCTTTTCATCCTAGCATTCATATATATTAAAAAAAAAATTAATATGGATCTTTTCATAACAAAATCTACAAGATACCATTTAGAGCAAATAGTTAATTCGGAAGAAATAACTTTTGCTAACATAAAAAAAGACCTTAGTGATTAGAAAATACCTAAAACCCCAACAAATGTAATCATAAACAAGGAAGATTCTACTTTGGCATGGATTACTCTGTTAAAACTGTTGAGCAGGAAGTTCCACTTGTTCAAAAATCTGAAACTTTTCAACTATTTTCAAGAGATTCAATTAGGAATCGTCAGAAAAAATACAGCTATTTGCATATAGGTCTTGTGCAAGTGGGAATCAAACCCTTAACTAGAGAAGGTTTGAACACTTCAGTCCTCTCTCGGAGGGACAAAAGGCATTTAGGATACCTGAATTCATTACTTGGAACGGTGGAAACCAGTCTATGTAATGGGCCAGTGTATTTTGATTGCTACCCAGATTTTGTTTTCTTTAAAAGATCAGCATATCATGCAAAACCTTTCTTTAGACGTAAAAACATCTAATTTGGATCTATGAATATAGGAATCCTTTATAGGATCTATTATAAAACTACAGTTTAAGCTTTTGAAACAAGTGCTCTAAGAACTAGTGACAAAGGTGAGACAATTCTGCTCCAAACAGATTAGTCTAGGGCCAATTGTTACGTTCCAAAGAGGCTTAAGTGGGAAGAAATCACTCTTCCTGAAAATTGGGATATTCCTGAAGCTATCCCGCCAAAAACTTTGAAAAGTTCAAATCTTAAATGTGTTGTTGAACACACAGAGGGAAAAGTTCAGTTAAGCTTTTCTAGGAAAAAAACGATTGAATAATCTAAGCCTTAAAACTTTGAGCATAAGAAGTTCTAGTCAACCTACTAGGTCTTCTTGTCCATCCATTCCTTCAAAGTCCAATTTTAACCTCAGAAAAATTGATAACAATGTTACCATACCAAACTGTTTTATGAGTAATAAAAGAAGAGGAAAAAGTCAAAACTCATCTCCCCAATACTCTCCTCCTATGTCTCCATCCCACAGCCAGATGATTGACCCAGAAGATCAAAATGAACTCTATGTTCTGGACACAGAACAAGAGTTTCAAATTGATAAAGAAATGTTAAGAAGAATTTTATTCTCTTGTTAACATAGCTTGGTTTTTTAGAAATTTATAATAAAGAAACTAGGCCAAAAATTCAGAAAGAATATTACCAATTTTTGAATAAAAACAAGTTTGAAGTTACATTTTTTACGTGGTTTGAACTTTTTGCTGAACAACATCAAATTGATTATCCTTTTGCAAATCTTGATGCTAACGAGAAAATTTTGAAAAAATGGCAAACTACTCAGGGGGAAATTGTTCACTCTGAGCATCTTCCCCTGAAAGAAGTTAGAATACCAGAAAATCTTTTGGTTGTTGCCTCACCCTTTAAGGCTGAAAGAGATGAAAATGTTACGTTCAAAGATTTTGAAAATATTTTTGTCAGAATAAATTTACTAACCAATACCTTGAAAATATAGGAGAACAACTAGATAGAATTGAGGATTTAGTTCAATTTAGGCTCCGTTTGGTATAAGGGTTTAACCAGGGTGATTCTAGTTTAGTTTTAAAAGCAGAACCATGATTCATGGTTTTGGGACCAATCATGATTCTGGAACCAAAACCAGGATCAGAGGTTTGAACCACCCAAAATCAAAGGGGGAGGTAGTTTTAAAACCAGGGGTAGTTCTAGTTTAAAACATCACATCAGGGATCAAACCTTGAACCAGAACCATTCAAACCAAACACAGGTTTTCAAACTTGAACAAGAACAATTTTTTACTTTTTGCAAACAAAGGTTTGAGCCATAATCATGATTTTGGTTCTAAAACCCTCAAACCAAACTCTACCTTAATCCCTCTAAAAAACCAAGATTAGATAATAAACCTATTTTCAAGATTTAGGAATGTCGTCCCAATGTTTTCAAAGAAAAACAAAAAGAACAAATTAATTCAGAATTTTTGATGAAATAACTAGGAGAATACAACTTTAGAAGATAATTGTACTATTGCACCAGATACTCCTCAATCAGCCAATACCCTAGGAGTTCTGAGCAAATCAGAATATGGTAAAGAATCAGCCAATACCCTAGGAGTTCCACACGAGATTTAAAAATTAGATTGGAAATCTCCCTAGAAACTTTAATACCCTAGAGCTACTTTTCCAGATGGAGTTCATGAAGAATCTAGCCAAAATGTCCAAAATCAATATAGTATGAATACTATCTACGAATGGAACATAGAAGGTGTCTCAGACTATAAGGTCCTCAAAACTCCAGCAAATGACAATGGTCTCCAATGTTTATAGAATTAAGCAAGGGACATCAAATTAAGATATTGCTCAAATTCTCATTGTTGGTCTTTTCTTAAAGGATGGTGGGATTATCTTCTCACAGTTGTCTATCAGCAAAAAATCCTACAGGCTATCAAGAAGGAAATACCGAATGCTGTATCAACCCTTATTTACTCCATTGCCAAACATTTTGTAGGTGATCCTACACTGATCAAAGATAGAAGTTCTGAACTTGTAAAAAATTTAAAATGTAAAAAAAAAAAATTCAGACTTTAGGTGGTACAAAGATACATTCCATACTAGAGTCATGCTTAGGAGTGATAACAACCAACCCTTTGGAAAGTAAAATTTCTTGTTGGTCTTCCTAGACTTTTAGGAAACAAAGTTAGAGAAAAAATGAAAGAAAATTAAATGGATCAATCCCATATGAGAAGCTACATAAGGAGATTTGATTAGTCAAGTTCAAAAGGAAAATCTGCAGATTTACTCAGACTTTAAACTTCAAAAAACAACTCAAAATAAAAAAAAAATAAAAAATAAAAAAATCAAACGAAGAAAAAATTAGGTTCTTTTTGCCAACAATTTGGCTATTAGGACTCTATCAGCACAAGCGATTGCAAAAGAACCAGCAGCCAGAAACCTCAAAAGAAATTTAAAATATCTAAAAAATTTATATCACAAGAAGAAAACAAAAGGGATGAAAAACACCAAAATAATTACAATAATTTGAAAAATGTGAATATGGCCATATCAAAAATATTGTAGATTAAAAAAGAGGTTAGGTAGCCTAGACTTAGATGAAGAAACCAAACAAAAAAATTTAAAGTTTGATGAATAATTCTGTAGAATCTTACCAAAATGAATTTTCTGAACCAGAATCAGGATATCAAGTTGATAAAATCGAAACATTTTCAGGATCAGAAGATGAAATTAACATGCTTTCAAAAGACCAAGAGTTATTACTTGAGGTCATCAATAAAATAGAAAATCCTAAGATTTAAAAGGAATATCTGGAAAAACTCAGGGAACAAGCAAAACCAAAACCAATTGAAAATTATATTCCTAAAGAGGTTTATAATTTAAAAGATATTTTCAAAAATTTTGAATCTGGCAATGAAGAAAAATAACAGTTCAAGATTTAAATAAATCAAATCAAAATTGAAATTTGGAAAAATAGTGTGAAGATTGTTTGGCTATTGGCCAATATGTCTTGTGCTAGTTGCAAAATGAAACAAAAAATACTGAGGAAGAATTTTTAAACATAATAACAAAAGCAACCTACAAGAAATGGTATGTTAAAGTAAATTTGAAAATAAATGAAGAATTTCTAATAAATGCAATTGCTTTGTTTGATACAAGAGTTGATCTCAATTGTCTCAAACAAGGAATTATTCCAAAGAAATATTTTAAAAAAACCAGAAAAGGACTAAGATCCACAAATGGAACAACATTGAAAATTCAATACAAACTTTCAAATGTTTTTATCGAAAATTAAGATGCTCTATACAAGACTGATATCTTGTTAGTAAAAGATTTGACCAGGGATATAATTCTTGGATCACCTTTTAATTAACCTTCTGAACCCATTTATTGTAGATGAGCATGGGACCAAGACAATAAAATCAGGACAAGAAATTATTTTTGAATTCGTTTCAAAAAATTTAAAAAACTAATTAACAACAGAAAAACATTTGAAAAGCTGCATTCTTGATTTTGCATCCATTTCTAACATAATTTTTTTTTTTTTGAATTTTTAGTTTTTATCTCCATTAAGTTTTAAAATAATTTTAAAAGCTTTCTCTTTCAAAAATTGGGATCTTTACATTTTCCTAATTCCTTTGTCCATAAAACCTTTCAGGAAAAACACTATGCCTCCAAAAGCAAAGGGAAAAGGAAAAACAGTTGCTCAAAATCAACAACCTTATGCTTTGAACAATTTAAATAGTTGCTCAAAGGAAAAACAGTTAAACTAATTTAAATATTCAAAAAAACTTCATAAATTTTTTTATTCTACCAAAAAAAATATGTAAAATTTTTAACTTACATTCAATCAATAATGGATGTATCATAATTAAAAGTTTAAATTTAAATTAGTTTCAAAATTCAAACTACATTTAAACCATAGAGCTATGAAAATACCCCAAAATAACAAATTACATGTCAATTTCCCTTAAAAAAACTGACGGAGGGGGAGTTTTTGTTAACATTTCATTGTTCGGGGGAAACGGATGTTACGTTTCTAAGATTGGGGAGCAAAGTGTTACAAGGGATATAGTTCAGGGGGGATTGGATTAATAAAAAATATTTCTTTAAAACATTATTTTGAAAATGGAAACACTAGTATTACTACTCATTCTACTGCACAAATTCTCAAAGTCCTGATACAATCTGCTTGGGGTAAAGATTTATCCCAGCAGAAAAAATTCTTGCATAATTTTGATCCTATTGGTTACAACTATTGGAATTATATGGATGGATGGCACTGTGCCTTCCTTTATAAAAATTACAAATACCAACACTCGTGGCTCTTCTATTTCAAAAAGGGAGTTACTTTAGATCTTCTCCACTGGTTCTGTAACTGGTGGTATACTTATGGTCCTGTCCCTGATATCCTTCCAGAACTGGTTCTTGATGGGTTCAAAAATTTTTTGCAATATCAGCCATCCAAAAAAGAAAAACAAAATGGAATTCACATTATGCTTTCTTTCTTTTCAAAATTCCATGTCTCATGGATTATTGCTTGGGATCTCAGACTAACTGAAGACCCACTAAAACTCCCTACTATATAGAGTTTTCACGATAAAATGCTGGAATGAATATACTGTTGCTCATGTTTATCCAGCAAAATAGAAAAATATTTCATGCTGAAAAAGCAGATTGAACAAGAAAAATATGTTTCATCCTCCAGATTTCTCCAGCAAAAAAGCCTGTCCAGCTCTAAGCTTGAAACAAAAACAAAAAAAAAAGAAGAATACAAGAATTTGCTAAAAGAAATTCTCTCGCAAATGGAAGAAGATCCAGAAGAAGAAGAAGAAGAAGAAGATAGTCCAAACAAAAACTCTGAGCAAGGTAATTCCGACTATGCTCAGAGCAATGAAGAAGACTGTTTTGAAATCCAAAAGAGCAAGATATGATTAATTGGATCCAGAAAAATAAAAGAAGAAATGAATAGATTTTGAACGAAGCATAACAGAAATAAAGTTGCAAAAGACTCCTATTGAAGAGCATCAATGAGACAGACAAGGTGGAACCAGTTTCAGAAGAAAAGAATAAAGGCATCTCCAACAGAACAAAATTTCACTGTTCAGACTGACACAGATACTAGTTAGTCACATGGCAGCAGTGAAACTCTTCACTCTATAAATAGAGGCCAAGAAGATCATAGAAGAACAACATCCCCTATCTCCACTTCGCCACTTCTCTCTCCACTCTCGTAGCCTCCCACTTTCCTTCTTTCTCTTTTCTTTCTTTTCTTTTCTTTTGTAATGTCTGTCTCCCTCTTCTAGAAAAATAGCAGAACAATTGTAAGCTCTCCCACTTCCATAAAAAACTTGTAGAACAATTGTAAGCTTCCCGTAGTGTAATCCCAGAAAAATTTCCAGAATAATTTGTAAGTTTTATTACTATCAAGAGTAAAGCTTGTTTTGATGTTTTCAATTTGTGAGTAGTTTTTTATATCCAGCTCTGTCCACTGTGTTCAATATATATATATATATATATATATATATATATTGTTGGGATTCCACAACAAAATATGTGTGTGTGTGTGTGTGTGTGTGTGTGTCTTGTATAACCAATAAGCTAGAAAAACATTATTCATAGAGCTCAAACGGATCAGTCTATGAATATAAACATACTCATCAAGGAAAAAACCTGCATCGGCAAGACACTTCGCAGTTACATTCTCTGGAAGACGTTTGCGAAAGTCATCACAATGTATAAGAGTTGCCAACCCGCCAGCAGAACAACCTGAAAGAAGAGCCTAGAATATCCAAAGTAAATGTAAAATCAACTAAATTATCTAATTTGGTAAGCTATTAAATTTAATGAAGTCACTACACGTAAAATGTATATATATATATACACACACAAAATTTTCAAGTTAAAAACAAAGCAGGTTGCATGGTTGAATTGTTGAATGACATATATTGCAAAAATCATCTAGATGTCCCATAGTTAAAAGTTTAGAGCTCCGATTTGGCATAAGCATTAGATTTTACAACAATTTTCAAACCAATAAGAGTTTATACCAAGGAATTACCTGTTTTGCTTTAGACAAGCCAATTGATAAGAGTTCATCCATAAGAACTTCCCAGATGAGCTGGCCTCTAAAGAAAAGCTTATCTCCATTCTACGCTATGTAAGAAGACAACATTAGTATTGAAAAAGTATTTTTTTTTCCCTCCATTGAACGCGATTAAGAAAAAAAAAAGTTCATGTTTTATAAAAAGCACTATAAATAAACCAAAAACTTACTTTTGACTCACTCTCAGGGTGGCCGGATAAAGATGCACCGTCACAATACCGTATCTTGACCTTGTTCCAGTTAAAGAAATCTAGAAAGGGCAAGCAATAAAGACTACAAAGTGAACGCTATACTTCTTTCTACATACATGCTTAAATTCCACTACAAAGTGAAGCAAGCACATATAAGGTTTAAGTGGATGCTAAGATGAGAAACAACAGAAACAAAGAATCTGACAATAGGAAATAAACTAAAAGTGGTCTAGCAAAATGTAACTACCATGATTTTCTGAAGGGTCACGACTCAAAATCCCCGAAAAGTGAATGCGGCGTTCCATATAGTTGGACGAACCTAATGCAGTCATCTTACGTAAGGAACAAGACTCTATAGTATTGCACCAACCTCCACCCTACACCAAAATCCAAACCCAAAAAATAAATATTAACAAGGAAAGGTTCTGATTTTTTTATTTTTTATTTTTATAAGAAAGCTTCCTTTTATTGATAGCTAGAACAAAGAAAAAGAAAAGAGGATAAGGTATCCTCTAAACAAGCAGAAAAGAAGGAAATAATTCTAATTTTAGTTCCTGATTTTTAGAACTAAAGGCATTTTTACCACATGGCAATGGGATGTTAATGAGAAAGACAAATATTTTTGGAAAAGAAATAAGAAAGGGAAACAATGATTCTGTTTTCACTTTGTAGCATTATTGTAGCTATTAGAAAGTGAAATTGAAATGTGCTTACTCACTTTAGAATAAAGATTATAATTGTTCAAGATTTAACTACTAAAATTTCCTTGTAAATAGTACATATCACTATTGCTGAAAATAATTTTGTAGTATATTACAATTCAAAGAAATACAATACATTGGCTTTCGCTCTCCTCATTCCCAAACTTACTAAACAGTTCATTTTCAATCTTTTTGACAATTTCCGCCAAACAAAATAGCAAAATATTAAATCTAATCAGGATTAAGTTAGCCCCATTACAAGGAAGTACTTAAAAAGTTAAACTCTTTTGAATAAAATTGCGAATTGAAACTTTAATTGGAAGCACAATAGAAAGTGATGATGAAATTGAATGAAGGAGATAGAAATGAAACCTCAATGTGAAGAAGCCAATTATGGGAGCCGGATCCGAAACCCTTCTGGAAATGGTACCCAGGAACAGTCCCATCTAAACAAACTGCAATTCCAAACCCAACAAAAAAAAAAAAAAATCAGAATTTGGCAAAAGCTAATGAAATGAAGATGATGCATAGGGAAGTATAAATCAAGTACATGCGCCTCTATGGCTGGCATTGTGCAACAAGGTCAAGTCGACGAGATCATCGGCGGCAGGAGAGTTATCGGCGAGATCGGTCCGAGAATTGGAGATGAGAGTGAGAGCGGATATGGTGAGGGTGAAGAAGACAATGATTGCGACAGCCCATTCCTTCTTCGACCACCTTCTCCACCACACCAGGCTGCCAAGTCTGAGATTGGTCGCCATTGAAGTTGAAGATAGAGAGAGCTCCTCCGAGCAACTCCCAGAAAAAGTCAACGACACTTGGCCCACTTTTGAGATGCTCAGCTCTGTTGCGCTTTGTTAAAGAAGGCAGGGCACCAAGGTGTGCAGCACCATAACTCGAAGGTGGGTCTTGTATTATGGAAGGGGAAAGGAGACCGATATAGATATATTTTTTAGGATTATTCTCGCTGGTAGTCCTTAAATTTATGACCTGTTTAATTTGTTGATTCGAGTTTTTAATTTGAGTTAAGATATAATTTTATATGAAAATTTTTTACTGTAATAAAAAAGTTAAATATAAGAGTTTTTTACTGTAATAAAACTCAAATTTTAAATTCAAATCGGTAAAATTTACATGGCCTTAAAGTCATTATCAATTTGTGTCTTGAACTTTAAACTCTTACTTTATCCCTTAAATTTTAAATTATTCTCACTTAACCTATTTTATTGTAAATTATGTTAAAATCAGACAGGAAAAGAAGGGGTTAAGTGTGGTTATGTAGTTTTTATTTGTTTCTTTTTAACAAAAATCCAAACAGAAAGACCATGTGACTGTGTTATTCACTTTTCTTTTATATGTTTTTAACATAAATTGCAACAGAAAGAGTTAAGTTGAAACAATTCACAGTTCAGGGGTAGAGTGAGGGTTTTAAAGTTTAAGAAGTAAACTGAAAATGACCTTAAAATTTAAAGGCGTCAGTGATAAAATTCTATTTTTTAATTATATAAATATATTACATTTCTTGTTCACTTCGCGGATTCGAGTTTTTAATTCGAGTTGAGATGTGACATTTTCTGAGAACTTTTCACTGTAGTAGAAAAAGTTAGATGCGACATTTTCTAAGAATTTTTTATTGTATAAACTTAAAACTGAAAACTCGAATCGGTGAAATGAGTAAACCATTGAAAAATGTTTAGGATTGCTGCCGGTGCGAAACACCATTACTAATAGAATGTGAGCCCTATTTGCATGTCTCACAGTACTTGTAGATCCTACACTGAACCCACTTTCTATTAGTAGGTGATACTAAGCACCATCGGTGTCTTATAATATTACTCATTACATTTTTCATGTTCATATGTTTAGTCTGAGTGATGGTCTCTCTTGAGAGACCTCAAAAAAGGCATCTCTGAGGGGACTATTTAGGGTTATTCTTTTACATTTTTTAGTTAGGGTGACTTGAGTGATGATCTTGAGTTAAGTTTGAGTTATAACTTGAGTTGAAGTTGTAACTTGAGTTGAAGTTGTAACTTGAGTTGAAGTTGTAACTTGAGTTGAAGTTGTAACTTGAGTTGAAGTTGTAACTTGAGTTGAAGTTGTAACTTGAGTTGAAGTTGTAACTTGAGTTGAAGTTGTAACTTGAGTTTGTGTTTGGTTGTGCACATTTGAGTTATGATTTGAATTAAGAATCTTTTTGAGTTTGTGTTTGGGTGGATCAAAACTTAAATTTGTATTTAGATAGTATTTTAATAAAAACTCAATGGTGATGAAAAATTTTAATAGGGTATATTAGTGGGATTTTATTCGTCTTTTTCGTTGTGAATGCATAGAAAAAAAATTATCTCAATCAGAATTAAAACGAAAAAATTTTGGCATTTTTAAGAATAGAAAAAATATTGTTCATTAACTTGAGTTTGAGTTTATGAACTCAAGTTGAAGGGGAAACTTATACTCGAATTTAGCCCCAAACTCGAGTTCAAACTCAAATTTTACAAAAGAACATGAACTTGAATAAAGTTGTAACTCGAATTCAAACTTTTTCTGAGTTTCATTACAAAAGAACAACCCCTTTAAGTTTTAGCTAAATTTTAACTAAAATAGTTTTCTAATCAATTTAACTAATAACTTTTTGATGAGTCACCCAATTATACTCTTTATTTTAACTAAATATAAATTTTAATATTTATTAAATTTAAATATATATAATTTTATTAAATTTACAAAAAAAAATCTTTATATTTATTATAGTTGAGAGAATAAAATAATAAAAAAAATGAAATTGTTAGCCTTTTTATACTAGTTATATTTAGTTATTATGGATGTAAGACATTCTCTAAAATAGCTAATCATAGCTAATGATTGGAGTGGAGAAATACTTGAAAAAAAATTAAATTATTAGTCATTTTAGATAAAAATATAAAATAATTAGTATAGTTAGAGTTAATCATGAAATGTTTCGTTACTAATTTTTTTTTTTTTTTTTTTGCTTTTCACTTTTGTTTAACTTTTCTTTTTTTGTGT